TAACTTTTTTTTCTTTTATCTGCCATTTCAGAATGTAAAACTCCCCCACTTACCCATTTAAAAAAAAAAAAAAGATTTATATATATGTATGCAAGAACTGGGAGATGTCTGCTGTGCCATGTGGATCAGCTCCCTGGCTGGCCAGGGATTGAACTCGTGCTATAGTGGCTGGCAGTGGCTTGATAACACTGTCTTTAACCCCTGTGCCACCAGGGAGACACCCTTATCCACTCTTGTAGCTATGAATCCTCAAGGAAGTTGGTCTCTCTGAACCTCCATCTCCTCAGTAAATAAATTGCGCGTCTCCCTGGTAGAGGCACTGTGATTTTCAATGGAGTTTTATTATGCACACATGAGTGTGCACACTTCTATGCCTCTTGCACCTTGCCTCACTTATGGCAAGTTGCTCTTGCTGGCTTTACAGGCAGTGCTCCTGGTGATTGCCATAGTAGTTATGAGAGGAATAGCTGTATTTCAGCCCCTGGATGGGATAGAGTCGTATACAAACATAATTTCTGCAGGTTGATTATAAGTTCATGTGGGTTTTGTTTGGAGAGTTGATAAAGAAGTGACCTTGAAGTGATCCCTAATAAGTGGGAGTGTTTATAGGACTAAACAAAACGAAAGTAAAGGAGCTTGACATTAGCAGTTCAACTTAGCAAATAAATTGTGTGCCTCTGCTCCATACCTCGCTCAGACCTAAACACAACGAAGAAGCCAAGATGATATAGAATGGGGTCTTCTTTAGTGAGTGCAACTTCACATTTATAAGCAAACCTCAGTTTGCACTTCACATTTGTTGATTCTCATAGCAACACAGGAATAGGATTTCACATGGACTTGTCATTCAGGGTTGAATTTTATGCCTGATTTTGTGACTTCTGTAAACAAAACTTTGATTGGTCCATGGTTCCTTTTCATTTTCCTGTGCTTAATAAATGAGCTCCTTCTATTTTATTCATGGACACATTTAAGATTTTATTTCTGCCCTTCTCCCCCATTGCTATGTCTGAAACAGCTTTTTTGGCACATTATTACTCCACATCAAAATGAACACCAGAAACAAATTCAACTTAACAGACAGTAGAATCATTGCATGTTTTAAAAATATCTGTTCAGTTGCTCTTTTAGCATATCTGAGACAATATGGCAATTTCAAAATAAACCCGATCACAAGATATCAGGGAGACAGAAAATCTAAATTGTGGGCTTGCGGTAAAGCCTTGTCACTTCTGGCTGAAGTCAGTCTCAGCTGAGATTCCCTGAAGAATCACGTCAACGAGCTAAAATAAAAGATCCAATCAGCTCAAGTAATGAAATGTGAAATATTAGGAAATAAGAGCTGAAGATGAGAAAAAGTGATAGTTCTTCTCAGGGGAAGGCTGACTGGACCTGAACAATACCCAGCCCTTCTCACCAATGAAGATGACACCCCTAACTTTGTGGAGTCCAAAAAACCATCTGCAGCTCATCCTGAGACAGTCTGAAAATCTAATTTGCTGATCAGGACAGCTTTGATCTGGCTCAGAGCCTGGTGTCATGTCCTGTTTCCTTCACTCTGATGGACAGAAATGATATTTTCTTGAGCAATCTGAGAAGTTCTGTGGAGACGAATTCTGTTTCTGATTTGGGTAGTGGATTGAGGAATTTGGAGTGTGTAAGACGTACCACCGGGATTGAAACCAAATTCTTAGACATTCTTTAAAATAGATTCTGAAGTTGAAGTGCTTTAGTGTTCTTTGTTCACATCTAGAATCTGTGTACTCCCGCCCCATGATGTGTGCCGACTGGTTACTACAACTTTTCCTGTAAATTACACTGTCAGGTCTTGTTTGCATGCATTGTGATTAATAGGGTTACCCCATGTGGTTCCAGGTTTTGGAACATCATTTTTCTTCAAGATTGCATGCTCCTTGGTGGTCTTTGTCCTCTCTTTCTAAAGATAGACATAAAAATTCTCCCATACTATGGCTTCTCTTAATGATGAAAACCCAGCTTTTGATCTTTCCGGTAATTTACACCTAAATATCTCCACCACTGACAGTAACTTCCTCTTGAAATGAGCCAGCTGGAATTTCCACTTAAGGCAGGATGAGAAGGGAGTGAGGATGTTTTTGTTTCTTTTCTCCCCATTCCTTTTAACCTTCCCCCTCTCCATCACCTTCCAGCTGCTCTCCCTCTCCACCCCTACTCACTACTCAAATTTCATTTAAAGTGGTTGAAAAAAAAAAAATAAAGCACAATGCTGATTTGAAATTCCATAAGCTTGTCTATAGTAATAGCATTTAAAACTTATTGGTATTTATATGTCAAAGTCCTGAGTAGCTTTTTATTTAAGCATATAGTACATGTGTATACACCTGGTAACTCTATGGATGGGGCATATTCCTATAGCAAACCCGACATCATAAAAATTTTATTGTTTGCATTTGAGGTTGGCTGGAGGTGGTTATTTATTAGACTCAAAAATGCTACACACACTTGGAGTGTTTATTCTGGATTTGTTTCTGTGCATTGAAAGTGTCTGGTGCAGCTGAAGAATCAGCAAAGTGAGCCAAGTGGGAAAACATGATGAAAAATCTTGAATCCAGGCACAAGTCATTGAAAAAAATAAAACTTGGCAAGAGACGATGACCATGAGGGTGAGGTAAAAGGGGAAGAATGCAGGCAAGGCCATCTCTCAACAACAACAACGTATCTGGAGACCTGGATGCAGGCTGCTTCTGGGGTGTTTATGCACTGACTTAGGGACCAGGCCTTTGGAAAAATAAGACTGTAAAATTACTTACAATTTCAAATGAAGTAGAAATACCATTTTAATAATCCAGCAGTCCCTGTTCTGGGTAGATATCCAAAGGAATTCAAAACAGGATTTCAAATAGTTATTTGCACATTCATGTCTGTTGCAGCATTGTTCACAATAGCCAAGAGTTGGAAGCAACCCTAATGTCCATTGGCAGAGGAATGAATAAAAATGTGTAGTATGTACACACAGTGGAAAATTATGCAGCCTAAAAAAAGGGAAAATTCTGCCATATGATACAACATGGATGAAACTTGAGGACATTATTCTAAATGAAATAAACCAAAAAAGACAACTGTGGTATAACCCCACTTATATGAGCTACCTCCAGTAGTCAAACTCAAAAACGTAGAACAGATTTGTAGTTGCTGGGGCGGGGGGTGAGGAGGTAGGGAGGATCAGGAATTTCACTTGTGCAAGATGAAAAAGTTCTAGAGATCTATTCTATGCATACAGTTAACAGTACTGTAGTGTACACTTATAGAAGGATAAATCTGTGTTATATGCTTTTTTGCACACACATACAAAATACTTTTTCAAAGTCAGCAATTGGGAATTTAGAAACTTTCTTAATATCGAAGTGGGCTTGACACTGTTTACTCAGACATCTTGCAGGTATTCAATGAGGAGACTTAGCAGATGCCTAGCAAAGTCTCATAATCCAGAAACAACCTTCTCTGCTTGCTAAGGACACTGTCGGGGCTCCCTCACACCCACCATCAGTTACTCAGGAAAACATACTAGACCGGTCTCCTCACTCCTACCACTGTACCTATGTGATTTTATATAATTTTGTTTGTTGTCCTAGTCTTCTGTGTGGGTATCTATCTGGTATGGGTAATCTGGTAACATTAGATGTGTCAAAAAAAAAAGACAATGAGAACCGATGGCCTGGCGTGAAACTAAATCAGCTGGGGTGTTAATCTAGATCCATAACAGATAATTACAAGTCCACTCAGATATCCTCATATGACACTGAGAAAACTTTTAGGGGATGACTCATTTCTAAAAAGTTATGTGGCACTTTCTTCCTGTGAAGATCAAATTTCTTTCCAAATCAATTCATCTTCACACTCCTTGAAGGATGCACCTTAAAGCAACAGGGCGTTGTTTACAGCTGCCCCCCTCCCTATCCCTTCCTGCTGACCTTGCATCTCAGCTTATTTCTATCTGTAAAAAATGGGTACTATATTACCAAGGTTTTCCAAGAACTGCAGTGAAACCGTGTGAATTCCCAACAGGAGTGATTTTGCCCTGGAGGGCAAAAGTAGAAGTTGTGATGAAGGGAAGATTTTTAAAAATCTTTGCTATTACAGTGATCTGTAAAGTCTTGCCCCATAGTGTTCCATTTCTCTTGTTAAAGAGAATCTGAGTTGACGTTTTTGTCCATAGTAAAATGCGCATGAAACAATGATTGAGAAACTCTGTGCTTGCTATAGGGAAAGGTATTCAGGCACAAACTGAAGTGAACTGGATTCAAGCCAAGAGGGAAAAATGATCCAGTTCTCACACTTTGATTTTAAAAAATGGAGAAATGGCTAATCTCTTTCTATATTTCATAAGCATGTACTTAGTACTATAATTTCATATCCAGCCCCCCAGGTTGCAACTTTTCAGTATTCAAGTTAAATCTTGGAGGAAGTCATAGTTCGTCCATGCAGTATGAATTCTAAATACTGGCCCATAAGCAAATGTCCCTTCAATGGAAGAGTGTCCTTGTTGCTGAGAACTTGTGGTTCTTCTCAGGTGACAGCTCTGGGAAGACCCAGGCCAGACTGTGTGCTTTATTCCTCATGCTGCCAATGCCTCGCTCTGCCTGGTTGTTGATTCAGAGTGTTTGATCATTAAATATATTGGGGTAATGAACAAACTTTAGTTTTAACCAGAGCTGGGACGAGGATGAGATAGTGAGGTGCAAGGATGAAAAATTTAAGGAGATACACACCCTCAGGCTTCGGGTCAAAGGTGTACCCTATCCTGACCCTGGTTTTAAAAGAAGTGGAGTCCATCCTTCCTTTTTCAGATTTGATTTATACAAGTGATTCTCTGGAAGTGATGGTCACAGGTGTACAGGAGCAGGGAATTTAAATAACTGTTCCAACACTACTCTACTCCACTTCCATGAGTAAATGGCTTTCTTCTTGCAGGTGATTCACACTGACCCCAGAGACCTACATTTTTCACTTATATCTTCTAGATTACCACTGATCTGAGGCAGCGTTGCACAGACAACCACACAGGGACTTCGGCCTCAGCCCCCATGGCTGCGGGCATCATCGCACTGGCCCTGGAAGCCAAGTAAGTCTTATCTCCGTACATCTCCACTCGCGGCCACCCCTCACCTCAACAACAGTTTACCCATCCCTCATATATTGAGTCTTTGCATAGCAACCCAGAATGTGATCTTCCCACTCTCACCTTTAAGACATCAAATATTAGGACCTAAAAAAATTCCCCTTAAACAGGTGAAAGACAACTTGTTTTGGTATATTTGTGTATATATAGCCTTAAAAAAATCACACTGTGTAATGACTTTATGATGGCGTCATCATGCAAGCATGCCAGTTGGCTCCAACACTCTTGCCTTGTTGAAGTTTTTATTCTAGTCTGGGAATGTTCCTGTGAGTCTCGGAGCACTTAGGGCTGCCCACTTCTGGGCCCTCTCCTTGCAGAACAGTGAGGCAGCTCATTCCATGACAACAGCACTGTCACAAACTCACTCTGGGGGACAGATATTTCAAGGTCATATGACAGCAGCTTGGGAACAAGGGAACTCGCTTATCATAATCCTGTTCAGTATGGTCAAATTCCGTGTCTAAAAGAACCCTTTGAAAAGGCCCCCTTAGGTTATTTGCCGAAGGTTCCAGCTCTTTTATTCTTTAAGCATCAACCGATTAATTTGTCTTAACTTAGAAAACCTAATACAGATCTACATGCTCTTACTCTCAATTTCAAAATCCAAAATGCCCAGAAAACTGAAAATTCTTTTGCAAGTTTGACACTGAAATTCATTTGATGGCAAAGCTTGCCCTGAACTGATTTGAAGCTATTTTCAGCCTCTATTTATTGTGAGAACTCATACATTTCACTGCAGAAATATTAATGCATTTGATTAGGAGAGGCTGGCTCAGAACCCACTGGAATTTTTGTGTGATATATATGCCGGACACCATATCTGAAAAAAATTTTGAATTCCAATACATCTGTTCCAAGGATTTTAGAAAAGGGATTGTGTAACTATACTCTGAGCCCCCACTATGATAGGATTCATAGCAAAAAGGAATTGAAGCTAATGACATGAGGGTTTTTCTAAAAATGGTTTTGCATCCTGCTCCAGGGAGGGATGGGAAGATTATTTCATCTAGTTATGCCCTGATGTAGAGCAGGTGACAAAGATTACAAGACTCAGGTATTTCACTAAGAACAACACTCTTTCTTTTTTTTTAAAAAAAGAGGCATGTATATTTATTTATTTATTTGTTTGTATGTTTGTACATGCACTGGGTACAGTCAGAAGCGCAGGAGGGTGAGAGAATTCACCAGAGCCAGAGCAGGGAGTAGAGCAGGCAGAAGGACCGAAGTACACTGCTGAGGGGAGCAGCGGGCGGCAGGAGAGGTCTGCGCGCCATGCCATCGGACCCTCCTCCGGTGGCTGGGGAGCAGTCGGGGATCGAACCGGCGCCGCTGAGGCTGCGGGCAGCTTCGCAACCCAGCGCTCAACCGCTGCGCCACCAGGGAGGCCCGAGAACAACACTCTTTCATTCTCAGTCTACAGCAGACCTGTTAAAGGAGGTGGGCCTTGATGTAATGTGGATATATTAAGTTGTTAAGTCATCTGTTTTTTGGACTGAGACAGTCCCAAGAACAGAGGCTCTGAAATGATGGTGTCTTATTCTCTTTGGGCTGCTTTAACGAGCACCATAAACTGAGTCACTTATAAACAACAGTTATTTTTCATAGTTTTAGAAGATGGGAAGTTTAAGATCGAGACATTGGCAAATTCAGTGTCTTGTAAGCATCCACTTTCTACTGCTGGCCTCACTTGGCAGTAGGAAGGGGCAGGGAAGTTTTCTGGGGTCTCGTCTAAGGGCACTGATCCCCTTCCTAGGTCTCCACCCTCGTGACCTAACCACCTCCAACAGGCCCCATCCCATAATACTTGATATTGGGCATCAGATCTCACATTTTAGGAGACTCAAACTTTCAGACCATAGCCAGTGTCTCCATGGCCTCCCACCTAAGCTTTGACATTGATGGAGATATTCAGGATCCCATGAGTCACAAGATATTCAAGATCCCCTTCATCACAAACAAGTAAAGGGGGTTTCTTTCTTTGTGATGAAGTTAAATATTAAATCATTTCAATTTATTATATCTTATAAAAGGGTAAAAGTTTGAGTTTAACAAGAAACTGGCACTCAAGAGAAGTTTATTACTTTGCATCTTTAAGTTTACTTATTTTACAATTTTTCATTGGACTGCTCTGACAGGTATCTAAATTAAGCAGATACCTAAATTGGTGACTGTAAATTGGTTTTTTGAAAAAATAGTCTTCATGCTAAACTCTGCTTGTTTCTCTGGGATATTTTCCTGATTATAAAATAGTAAAGGAAAAAAATCAAGAATTCTTTTTAAGCCCTTCTCTCTCCATTTCCCCTAATGGGTATAATCTCAGACATGCCAACCAAGTAAACTGTGGCTTCAGACCTCAGTGATACCCAGCTGTACTATTACTTGAGTATCACTATAACACTAATATTTTCAACAAAAAATGAAAAATCCTCCCAATCACTTTGGGGCTGAAATATGCATCTGTTTTCTTTTCTCGTGTATTTTGAGCATTTCTTAAGATTGATCTTTTGCCAGAACTATGATGGATGAAAGGAAGGTCCCAAGGAACAGTTTACTTGAAATATCCACTGTATTTTCAGATTTGGGGCAGTCCGCTTTGATCATTGAGCCGAAGTAGATGGAAACAATCTGATAAAAATCAGAAAGAATAAACCATTTCTTATAATTCCATTGGTTTGCTCTACAGGCCAATCTTTGCCTGTAAGTGAAGCTGAAAGTTACGGGAGTCTGAGTACTAAACGACTGGGCCACACAGTGGTGCTGGGGTCAATAAGCAACATGAGCAATAGGCTACTGAGAAATGATAGGAGGGCCTCAAGCAACAGTGCATCAAACTACAGTTGTAAAGTGAAGCCTAATCCCTGGAGACGTCCATTCACCCTGTCCTCACCCCTGCCATCTCCTCTTTCACTAGTACTTCTCAACAGTACCTAAATTTTGCTTGATATTTTGAGATTCAACCTTTAACTGACAAAAGTTGAGGAGCCTGATCTACAAGAGAGGAGAGAAAACCACAGCTAGGCAGAATAATGGCTCAGGATACTGCCCAATGCTGCAGATATGTACCCAAGCTCAGGTCAGATGAGTAACTGGAGGAAGCTGAATGGCCTGGTAAAAAGCTGCAAGCAGGGATTGCCAGACCTTATTTAATTGCATGTCTCTACTATCCCTGTACTGCAGGGAGAAATGTGCCGTTTCTCCTAATGTCACTACATTACAGTATTTACTCAGGAAAAACTCACACCCTCGGTTTCCCCCAGCCTGCTGCTTTTCCTCCCCAGGGCTTGCTGGCATCAGAAGATTTGCCTGGATCATTAGGGTTGTGGGTCCTGCTCCAGGGCTACTTCAGACCTTGGCCTCTCTGCCACTCTGAATCTCCTGGCTCCCTTATGGTCAGTTTTTCCAAATAGCTGCCTTAGGAAACTAAGAGGAAAGAAAACAAATGCAAAACATAGAAACAGATAAGATTCTAGTGTACAGATCTCTTATCTGAACCTATCAAAAATTTGATCATGAAATAACTCTGCCTTGACAGCTGATGGAGCTCCCAGGCCTTTTCCTACAGGATATGTAAGAACATGTTACAACGAACTCCATTGTAACACACCCCAGATACTTGGGTGAAAGGGCACTGTGCCCAAGGCTGGAAGGAGTCTCAGCTCCTCGAAATATCTGCTTCCTTGCCTTTATCCCCTGGGTTGCACCTCTTTGGTTTGTGTTATATTAAACTCTACAGCTGCCTCCGACAGTCCAGTCATGAACTTTGCCTGTAGACTCACCAATTTTACTTTCCAGTAGGTGGGGCAATTTCCTCCTGTTCCTAAAGGTGTTTCCTGGGTACAGGAAACATGAATTCCTTTATCTTTGTAAGCATCATAAGCAGTTTCAGAACAAGAGAAAATGTCATCTGAAAAGACATGTTTTTGTGTATTGTGGTACCCTCATCACATACTTAGTGCTGCAGAGGTTTTTAATATTTCAATTATTTGGACTTTGTGGATTTGGGGTAATTTGCTGGTTTTCAATTGAGTGACTAGGGCATATGTAATCAGGGATTTTAAGTGAACTTATTACCACTTGGGCCATTGCTGCTTGAAATGATATCTTTTTAGACAGCATAACTCCAAAAGTACAAATAAAATGAGTTTCCTGGGGGCAAGATGCTTAAGTGAAAGTAGTGAAACATTACTAATAATTTTAGGTGAGCAACCAGGAAGATACCAGGTCACATTTGTAAGGTGCTTTGCATGCTAGTAAATTTACCAGTACCCTAGTCATATGGCAAGAAAAAAAATGTTAGCAAATGTTACATATAAACTAGTTTGTGAAAGTTGAAATAGCTGATGTTCATAAAAATATAGTGTTTAGAGTCATAAACTATGTTTTACTGAAAGTTTCCTGACCTGAATAGCAAAGAAAAGCTGTTTTAGTGTAGTGTGTTTTATATATTAAATTATCGGGATTAGTTCAAGAAATTCAAAATCTAAGGCCTCAAAAGGAATATTTTTGCCTTACATTGCAGATATGGCCTCTCATTGGAAAATTAAATAATATAGGTTCAGCAATCAAGAAATGTTATTTGGTGCAATGAATAATAAATAAAGGGAATTTACAAAATTATTTAAGATATAAAATTGTTGATATGAAGACTGTTCTACAAATGCTGTTGAACTGACCTCAAAGTTTTTCCACACAGTTCATCTCTCAGTGGTCATAAGGATACTTCACTGTAAGAAACTTAATTTATCTAGATATAAATCTAAAAAATTAACAAATCAGTATGGTAGCTGTAAGTCTATGCTAGAATTATGCCTTATATATATTTAATATTAACTGCTTCTGGCATCCTATATATACATGCACTTATGCACACGTTTCTAGGTAGGGTCCTCTACTTTCTCTTTATTACATCACTTCTATTACAGTTGTCTTATTACCATTAGGTT